AGTTAAATGGTTACACACCGTTGTTCAAACATTGATTAAAGCTTGATTTATTGCAGGATGGTCAGATTGATTAAGGCGAATTTGCTACAATGATGAGAAAAGGAGATGGAGGAATTGGGAGGAGAAGCATGAGGAAAACTATAAACATGGGGAAAGCCTTAGGATTACAAGTTACAGAAAGTGAAGAGTACAGCCAACAAAAATAATTGAATTCCATTCTAATTTTCATTTTTATTTTGTCTAATTTGTTTATGTATAGGGTTCAATGTTCCATACAGAGCCTTTTGTATCTTTATTCGCATCCTCTACCAATAATCTTTCCTCGATAGTTTCTCTCTCCGTCTCTCCATTACTTTTTGTTATTGTAATGGAGGCCCTCGGTAAGATGCTCGAGAAAGCGAGGTGGGAGAATCTGCTTACGGGATTTACGATTGGTCAACTGCAGGTGTCCCACTTGTTATTTGCAGATGACACACTGATTTTTTTGACGCGGTTGAGAAGCAAATCAGGAATTTATGCAGGTTGCTTTTATGCTTTGAAGCGGTGTCAGGATTGAGGATTAATATGGGGAAATCTGATGTTATTCCAGTAGGGGAGGTCACTAATGTGAAGGAACTAGCTATTATTTTGGGTTGTAGGGTTGCGCAGTTACCTATGTCATATCTCGGACTCCCTTTAGGGTCGTGATTTAAAAGTATCAATATTTGGAATGCTATTGTGGAGAAGGTGGAAATGAGGTTAACGGGGTGGAAGCGAATGTATCTCTCGAAAGGTGGTCGTCTTACTCTCGTTAAATCTACTCTATCAAATATCCCTACTTATTTTATGTCATTGTTTCCTATTCCTGCTGCAGTGACTTACAGATTAGAGAGGATTCAAAGAGAATTTCTTTGGGCAGGCCTGGGAGAAGAAACTTCCTTTGGTTAAATGGGGAGTTGTCTGCTCTCCTATGAGGATGGGGGTCTCGGATTGTGGAGGCTTACTTTGTTTAATAAGGCATTATTAGACAAATGGCTATAGCAGTTTGGTGTGGAGAGGGAGAGTTTCTGGAGAGAAATCATTGGGGTAAAGTATGGCGTGATGGAGGGGGGATGGTGTTCAGGTAAGGGGCGTGGGTCTTAAGGCGTGAGTTTATAGAGGTATATTCGACGAGAATGAAACGACTTTCGGAATAGCTTGACTTTTGTGGCGGAGAATGGTAATAATATCAGATTTTGGGATGATTGTTGGTGTGAAGATGTACTGCTAAAGTTGGGGTTTCCTTCCTTGCATCGCATTACTATGATGCTTTCTGCCATGATGAATGACGTCTTAGCCATCCACAATGGGAGTTCCAGTTGGAATATCACTTTTCAGAGGGGTCTACTGGATTGGGAATTGGATGACTATGCATTGTTTCTAACGGATTTGTATGAGGTGCAGATTTGGGTAGGAGAGGATGATCGTAGCCGATGGAGGTTGGCACGGAATGGTATTTTTTCAATTCGCTCTTATATTTTAGATCTCTCTTGAGACCTATGGAGAGTTCATTCCCCTGGAAGAGGGTGTGGCACTACAAATTACCCTCACGAATGGCATTTTTACCGTGGACGATTGTGAAGAGACAGGCATTAACGTTGGATAATCTCCGGAAAAAAGACTTTTATGTTACCGAGTGGTGCTATATGTGCATGAGTGATGAGGAGACACATGACCACCTATTCTGTGACGGTGTCTGTTGGTTGTGGAATAGTATTCTGATTTCTCAACATATAGATTGGGTGTTGCCTAGACGTATAAAGGACGTGTTACGGGTATGAAGGAGGAAATTTCGTGATAAGGATAGCAAACAGTATGGAATCTTATCTCAGGATGCATTGTATGGTGTGTGTGGAGGGAAAGGAACAACCGATGCTTTGAAGACCAAATACGGACCACAGAGCAATTTAGAGAATTATTTTATCTGACTTTATATACTTGGTTTAATGCAGCGACTAGCAATCCTATAGAGGGGCTGTCTAACTTCATATCTTTTCTTTCTTGTTTAAACTGATAATACACTTCCTGTATATTCTTTTTTTATTAATTAAATTTTTTGATTATTTATCAAAAAAAAAAACTTATTTAAGGAATACACAAGTCATTTTATGTCATGACTGTTGAATGTGTACATTATATTGTTTAGGAAAGCATTCTCAAAGCAAACTTGTTTGCCTTTTTATCATAATAATACACTTTTCCAAGATATGTAAATACTGGCTGTTTATAACTTACTGGATACAGCCAGGTATTTTGTATGATGCCCCTGAGCACTAATTTTCCCCGTCTCTTTCTTTCTAAACTCAACGCTTACAACTGCGAAAGCCTTTCCAACACGTAATGCTTTTGATTATATCTCAATTTCCTCCTGAACAATAAAAAACCACAAATGAATACAATGGTAACTTGTCAAGTAATGGAAAGGCAACAATAATTGACCTTATGAATTTGGCCCTAAAGCAAAATCACAAAACTTGCAACTAAAAAGTAATCACAGAAAAGGAAGCATCAAAGAACTACATGGGCAGAAAAAAAAAAAGCTAAGAAAACAACACTTTCTACCAAGGGTAATAATCAGTTTTCCATTTAAATATCAAGAGTTCACCAAACTGAAAATGATAACCCGATGGCTTCACCAGGACACTCATCACGACCATTACCGATAAACAAGAAAGAATATAAAAAGCAGGGTTCATTGAAAAACAATGGACACACGCACAAGAGAACAAAAGTGGACATAGGCAGGCACATCACAAGGAGAAAGAAAGTCAAAAGAGCTGGAACCCTCAGCAATTTTGCAACATCTACTTTTTGTGCACCCTTATTTTGAAACAAAATGCTCTGCCATCGTATATATCTGAAAGTTAAAACATCAACAGATTTAAAAGCAGCTTTCAGTTTGTCATACCAATTTAGGGAAATACATTAACTGAATCTCATGACGAAAGGATCATTAACAAATTCGACAGTCAGTCTTGATTCTCTTTGATTTGTTTCATGACCAGCAAAATGGAAGATACAGCAAAAGTTTGCAGAAGACATTCTCTTTGATTCATTTTATGATCTATGAAGAGGTAAGGCTACATAAAACTTAATAGTTTAGTTATTAGATATGTTTGAACTGAAGGTATTCGTATTGGGAGTAGTAATTTCTCCCCATTGTAATTCTGGAAGTAAGGTTAGATGTTCCCCTCCTTTGTATTAACTCTTTCTATTGATAAAATGTTAGGGATCAATGCCAAATCCTCATCTATAAGCTAAATAGAGGTATAAAATCCCACATTTAGACATAGACGGAGAAAAGAAAAGGGTAAATTGTATTACACAAATGTTAGCATAGGCAATCCATTTTTGTTCCTAAAATACTCACAATTCGGCATTCCTAAGGAGCAATCTTGATTCAATGAGCTGACTTCGAACATGAAAAAAAAAACTCATGAATGGCAATATTTAATCAGATTTCGCATATCTACGTGGAAACAAGGAGATAAAAAAGAGAAAAAAAGCAGGAAAATGGTTTGCACAAAAGCATCGTGAACGGAGTACTTTCAGGAAGACAAGCATCAACATTACAATTCAAAGAGAGCATTTTAGTTCCTTAGTTCACTTCTCAAGCCCGACAAATCAGCAATTCTGGATGAGCTCATTTCAAAGAAAGCACCACCATAAGTGATAACAGGAGAAGATATACTTCACCATTTTTTCAAGGAGTGAGGATTCTATCAAAATACTGGTCACATTTGCCTCCTTCGTGATGTAGGATGTAATTGAATCTTGTGAAAAGGGAGGAGGAGGAGGAGAGAAAGGAGGGGGGAAAGAGAAGAAGAGGGGATGATAGAAAGGGGAGAGTAATTAGACAGACCGAAAAGAAATTCGGGGAAAAAATATCAATTTATTTCATTATCAAAGTTGTGTCCATTACAATGCAAAAGACCCATTTATATAGAGTCTCAAAGATTGTATTTTCAGTAGGAAGTATCTAACAAAATCTATTAAATCAAATCCTAATTATGTTTCCTAAAAAAGCATCAAAATTGAAAACTGGATTAAATAATGTCCTTGTTTGGGCACTATTCTCCAAAAATACATTCTTCTCTTATTTCAATCACACATTTTTCAATAATATAACATTACACGTAAACTCAAAATTTTTCCTTATTTTTTAACCACACATTCTCCAAAATACTATTATTCAAAAATACATTTTTTCTCAAAATGTATTTTTAATGGAGCCCAAACAAGGGCAATATTAAACTAATATTACCACCACTATCTGCATCTGATTTTTAATGTATCCAAATATTTAAAGAAATTTGCATTAACTCACTTCCCATATCAGATATTTGATGTATCCAAATAATTTAAGAAACTAATTTTTTCATTCTTTGGACGTTGACAATCAGATATGAAATTTATCCTTCTTAACCACCATTCCCAATTGAAAAACACCCTTAGCCATAATGGGATAACAAATGGGAACATAAGAAGATATTTGGATCCTTAGGCTAGAATTTCAAGATTAGGGGTGGGTTAGCATATATCTTAGTAATTGGACATTACGAGCAAGACATTGTTACAACCAACAAGATGCAGAATAACATACCATGATTTCAAAGGTAGGTGAAAATTTGCACATTTCTGGTAGTAAAATTATTTCCCATAGGAACTAGAATGTTTTCTGCGTACGAGCACTCCAATAATAGTACTTTGCCAGACTGATCCACCTATTATGACATTTTTATCTCTTCTTGGCTTATAGGTACAATGTTACAATAGTTGAGTGTTCTAAGATCTTCACATGTTGTAGGTAACTTTATGATGAAGGAAACAGATGCACTAGAGTCATACTAATACTCATTTATTACTCTACATTTAGTAATAAGAGTTGTCATCATTAAATCTCTATTTCTAAGCTCAACTACCAACAGTTCCAACGTACTCTTAGGACTAGAACTGAAGGAAATGAAAAGAATTTTAAAATTTTAGGTGATAGCATTCCGCTTCATTTCATATTCAAATTCCAAGTCCTATATTCCATGCAAGCAAGAATTTTCAGGGCATCATTTTGATCTGTCTACAGAGGAATCCCTTAATTCTTGGCATTACCACATTGTCACACATGTCATGACACCAGATTTTACTCCACTCAAATGTTAAGTTCATATAAATCTTCAAGCTACGCCATTTTCTTTCTTGTGAGGAACCCAGAACTAATCTGAGTTAAAAAGTTGGAAACTTATTTGTTCATCAAAGCAACTCTAGTTCAGAACCCATAAATTATGTCATATCTGTTGAAAAACAGCCTTCATCTTGGATTAACATCTTATAATTGATTTCCGGAGGATAGAACATTGTAGAAATATGGAGAAGTCATTTAAGTTTTCTGTAACAGCAAGTCTTGAACTTTCCTGATTAGTGACATGGATACAAGGCTAAAGGATGAAATGCAAATACGATACTGAATTAGTGAGGGGAAACCAAACTTGGAATCTTGTGAAATAGGGCTAGCTATAGGCGCTAGCCATTTATGTCAACCAAATTGAAGATTCAAGTGAAATAATTGAAACTCCATTTCTAGCATCTAGCCAAGTCTCCTAACAAAATCCTCCAAATATTTTGATGATCTAAGTTCTTATAGTCAAATCTCTAGAGTATATTAAGTGACAAAGTCCAAGGACACCAACAAGTAGAATTAGATCAGTTAACAAGCTCCAAGCTCTTTGCTACCATTTCTATTCATTGGAATGGAGGGCTTTATTATTTGTTTCAAGGGAAGTTGAAAAAATTTAAGAAATTGACTTAATGCAGCCTCGACACGGAGCAAACATTCCATGTAATACCTAAGGATAGTCTAATCAATACAGTTCTAGTTAACACAGTCGTGGAACCTTGAAACTACCCACAACATCGTCAAACAAAACAGAGAACCATACATTGTGAGAAAAAAAAAATCGAATTAGCATAATATCTTATCCGTAACCGAAAATCGAATTAGCATAATATTTTATCTGTAAACGAAAGCAAAAGTGAAAAAACAAGAAAATAGCGATGTTATAAGCCCACTTACACCAGCATAAGCAGCATCCAAATAGGAAACGTTGATCTCGACCGATACTCCGGTTGTCGGAGCACCCATGGTGTATATTACAGCCGATCCAACAATGTCGACCAACGCCGCCGTCGCCCCACCATGCAATGAATTCCCAGAATTCTTCAATTCACAGAAAAAAAAGAATAAAGAAAGACAATTTACTCTATAAAAATAGCAGATGTCCAGGGGTTAATTTTCAGAAATATAATGGAAAATGAAAAATCAAACCAGAAGGCGATCTGGGACAGTGAGAGAGCAAAGAATACGGCCGGGTTCAATGTGGTGGATTTTGAGACCTTGCATAAGTGCATAACCAATGGCTCTATGAACTTGGGGGGCATTGAATCAACTGTTGATTCATAATCGCCTCCTTCTTTCTCCGCAAATCTCTTTACATGCTCCAAATCCATTTTCTGAATTTGCTGTTTGTCCGATTAGTGCGTTCCTTGATCGTCTCTACAGAAAAGTGAATTGCATCATTAGACACCCACCTATACATGGAGGAAATATATGGAAATAACCTTTTTACTGTTGTATAAATCAAAACTGAACTTTGATCAGGATATAGAATTTAAAAATAAAAAAAAATGAAAATATAGCTTTACAAGAAAAAAAGCCAAAAATACCCTTACTTTGCAATTTCGACTATTAACAGCTTGTTGGGCCCACTCCACAATATGCCCAGATCCGACTGTTAACAGCTTGTTGGGCCCTTTCCACGGCATGCCCAAATCCGACTGTTAACAGTCGGATCTGGGTCGATTGTCACTTGGGCCATAGCCGACCCAGATTCAACTGTCGACAGTCGAATTTGGGCTAGCTGTTATTTGGCCACAGCCAGCCCAGAACACTAAATTTTTGGGCGGCTGTTAAGTCGGCCCATATATATATTTTTTGATTTTTTAATAATTTAATATAATAAATAGTATAATAAATAAATATTTATATAACTAAATATTTTACGTAATTGAATAAAAGTCATATAATTAAATATTTTACTCATTTCATTAAAATTAATATAATTACATAAATCATTTACGTAATTGAATAAATTGAATATTAAATAAATATTTATATAATTAAATATTTTTCTTA